CCCTGAATGGTTGAATACGGACTTAAATTGCCACCACCTGGGCCGATTTAAAAACAACAACAACAACAACAACAAAAAAAAAAAACAATGAGGAATGGCCCTACAGGGCTTTGGGCTGGAGACACTTCCCAAAGCAGCTGCTGAGCAGAAGCGGTGGGAGAATGGTAGCCGGCTACTGAAGTGGTGCTCTGCCCACCTGTGAGGCCTATGCAGCAGCCACAGTGACAGTACTGAAATTCCCCTGCTTGCTTATGCTGTGCACCCAGGTGTCTGATTCTGGGGTGTGTGTGGGGGGGAGGGGAGGAATTCCCCTTTGCTGTGTCTAAAACATTTGACTATGGACTGAGTACTCTATGTTATCAATGAACCACCTTATGAACTGTAGATCTGGAATCAAAAGCCTTTTTGTTTTCACTCCCCCTGCTGTTTCCCCTGCAGGGAAAGCAGGCTGCTCTCACCCTTTGCCACCTTGCTGGGAAAGGCCCCTGCAGACAACAATGAGCCAGGTGGGAGCAGCCCCAGGGTAGCAGGTGGGGCGGGCGCCCTTGGCGCTTCAGGCTGGAGAGGCTCAGGCAGGCTGACGGATGCCCCCACCTCGCCGGAGTTTGGAACAGATCCAAGGCCAGCAGCGCAAATTCAGTGGCTGATGAGGCAGAACCTCAAGGAGCGGAGCCCGAGAGCTAACCAGAGCCACACAGCAAAGAGGGGCAAGGAATAGCAGCCAGAGTCCCTGGCCAGGAGAAGGCCGGGAAAAGGCTGAGGAGCCAGGGCCCAGCGCTGCCACTGCGGGCAACGACCCCTCTGTCACCGGACTGAGCAGGAGGAGTCCTGCATGGCCGAATAAGCGCAAGCCTCCTAGTCAATGGAGGTGGGCTTCAGAGAGGCAACAACTGGTGCCACCCCGATGAGGAGGGGCGGGAGACACGGAACTAACAATCTTCTTAAAGGTACATCGGCCTTTTGATTCAAACTACGGATGGCAGAGAAACTTTTTCTTACCAGGACTAAGAAGATCAAAGAAGAAATCTTCCTGCGGTTTGGCCTGCCCAAGGTAATCAGAATTTATGGTAAAACTGCCTTGTTGCCCAGAAAAGTCAGGACATGGATAAGACTGGGGAAAATTACATTATGCATACAGACCCCAGAGTTCAGACAGGTAAAAAGAATAATAAAGACCCTAAGCCTTAGAACTGGCATTGGAGACTGAGCACAGCTCCTCCCCCTAGCCCTGCTCTATGTAGATCCAATATGGGGAACCTCCCCCCACTTGGCTTCCTAAGGTCCCTCATGACCCATCTGCTCATAAACCCATTCTGCAGGCGCGGTTGAAGGCTCTCCAGATCTCCAAGCCCAGGCATAGAGACCCCTGGCAACCCTGACACCAGGAAATCTCGCATTCGTTCCAGAATTGGTGCCTGGGGTATATCCAGAGGGACATGAGAAAAGCGCAGCACCTCACAGCCAAAACAGCAGCCGCCTGCTCATACCTGCAATCCATGTCTCCTCAAGCCCTTGCTTTGATACCCCTGCCCTCACCCCTGATTTCTGTCAACTAGTAGCAGGGCTAGCCTCAGATAGCAGGGCTAGCTATCTGAGATGCATATCCCCTACAGCTGCCCCTGGAGGCTGGCAGAAGATTTTCCCCTGAAGGAAATATTTGGGTGCGGGGGTCCAGAACACAGATGCCACTTGGGAAAGCTAGATTTTTATACTGTGGTGCCTAAAAATGTAAAATTATACGTCCCCAAAACAATGCTCCATGTGGAGCACAGGGACATGTGACATCTCCCCCACTTGTCTCCCAGGGGCAAGCAATGGGACTGTCTCCATGGATGTCGGAAAGGACTTGGGACATGAGATGGTATTTAAAACCAAGTACCATCTGACCAGACCCTACTGCTGGCCGGATTAGATCCCCCTAAAGGGGCCCTAATTAGTCCTGCTGCTGCCCACTGGACTAAGCTACTCTCCCTGCTTCTCTGTTGGAACCTCCCAAAGCCAGCCCGGGCACCTGGAAATCTCACACCCGTTCCAGGTTGGCGATTCTATGTACGTTTGGAAACACCGGTCCCAGAACCTTGAACCTTGCTGGGACCCTACACCATGCTTCTTAAGACACCTACTGCCCTCAAAATGGACGGTATTGCAGCCTGGATCCACGCATCTCACATCAAGCCTGCACCTCCACAGGACGACCCAGGACCTTCCAAATGAAAGCTTCAGCGTACCCAAAATCCTCTCAAGAAGGCCTGATTCTGCCAGGCTTGCTGATCTTTGCCCTTAGGACTTAACCTGGACCCTGACTAACTTTGAGACTGGACAAGCCTTAAGGCTAGCCGCTGGAGTTCATCCCCTGAATACTTGGTTCCCCCAGCTAACTTTTGACCTATGTGTTTTAGCAAAAGACTCTTGGGAGGATACTGAACAAACCCCTGGAAACTCTTGTCCTGCATGCAGATATTCTAAATGATATATTTGTTTATGGGGGTGGGGCTAAAATATTTTGTTAAGCTGTCCAGGGATGTAAAACTAATGTCAATGTCTCCTGGTTGGGGATTAGCAAAAAGGACTTAGTCTCTTTCACGTGTACCACACCAGGAAAATCTGAAATCACAATCACTTTCACTAAGGAGAAAAAAAAAGAGCTAACAGGTTAACAGGCAATACTTGGGGTTTACAGTTATATAAAAGACATAGGGATTCTGTTCACCCTGCAAGTTGTTGTAACACCTCCCATGACCATAGTACTAGAGTCCAACCCTGTATTGCCTGACCAGGGTCAGCTAGCCCCTGCTAAGGTAGCCCCCTTTGCCAGGGCCCCCCACTCCTAGTGCTAAGAACCCTTTTGCAACTCCTGCTTCACTGCTGGTAACCTCTAACACAGGCCAGCAACGGTTTAGTCTAATAATGGGAGCTTTTTCTTTACTAAATAGTACTGACCCCAGCAAGATTATGTCAAGCTGGCTATGCCTGTCATTAGGACCTCCCTATTAGGAGGAAATAGCCTCATCTGGCAGTTTCAACCACATCAGCTCTCATATGTCCTGCAATTGGGGACAAACCTAACTCTCCCAAGTCCCAGGATGACAGGACCTGATGCCCTCTATTGATCTATGATGGGCCTACAACACTGGTTTGTTAATTTCTGTGTACAGATCCAATTAGTTTCCCAAATTTACTAATATCTCAAGATTGAGATATTTGACCAAATAAGAGGAGGGAATGTAAGATTTTAGACAATTCTGAAGCCATTTCTGACAATTCCAAACCCTCTCAGCCTCTGTGCCTCAGTGCTTCCCCTCCTCCCCTGGGAACCAAGGACCTAACAGCTACACATGCACGTACTCAGTTCCTATTACCCATACACGTATGTTTTGACTCAGCCCCCTGGGAAACGGGGTCAAAATGACCTCTTACCTCATCTGATCTGACAATAGTTTTCCAGTCAATTATTGGTATTAGCCCTTTTTGAACAAGCCAATCATGATGGTCAAGGAACAACCCCTCTTGTTTCTATGGGGCCTTCTCCTTTAAAAGTAGACTGTACCAGCTAGTCGGGGTCTCTCGGCTTCTGAGTGCTGAGGGACCCTGTCATGACAGAATTAATAAAATCCTCATGCTTTTGCATCGGCTGTGGTGTATGAGGTGGTCTCTAGGGGTGACTCCTTCTCGGGTTGGACACTAGAGTCCAATAGAATAATTTGAGTCAAGACAACGTCCACATTCTAGATTTGTGGTTCCTTCCTCACGGTCATTCAACACGTTCCTTTATGCTTCTATTTCCTTTAAACTAGGAGACTTGATTATATTCCTTCATAGGTGACAATCGCTCATGTTCTACCAGTCAAGAAGTTCATAAAGTCAGGCTGTCTCACAATTAGTGGTGGTGCAGTTGATCACTGAGTAAATAGTTGGATGCCAAATTTCATCAATGTAATTATTAATCATCCCTGAGATTTGATGCTTCATACTTGTGTGTGATACCTTGATCCTGTAGACACCCCCCTTTCTCCACATGGCTTTTAGTTTCTATGGATATTGTCTAAGCACCTCAAACGGTCACTTTTCCCATGCCATCGCACCGACTCCCTTTACTGTTGTATTTATCTTCTGTACAACAACAAAACAAACAGAGCTTCCCTTCTCTTGACTTACAAGGTCTTCAGGCAGCCCTGCCTGGCCTGACACTCGCTAGGCAAACCAGACTGGCCTCAGATTCACATCCGCCTGCCTCTTGCCTCCCCGAGCTGGGAGTGAAGGCGCGCCATCACAACCGACCCGATCTCGGTACTAAATCCCTTCCCCATCTGCTGGCCGGAAAGGTTCGCGAGTCTACGCCCACACACAAGCGAGCCACTCGCCGCTCCCACTACAAGGTAGAACTGACGTAAGACGAGCCGGCACTGTGCGCCTGGCGCAGTCCAAACACGCCACTTCCTGCCCATTAGGCCCCACCCACTCCGCCTTCCGAGGCCGCAGACGCCGGCCGCTTAGAGGACGCCAGGGAGTCACGTGGCCCGAGCGCACGTTCGCGAGAATTTGTTGGTCTCGCGAGATCTCCTTCGCCTTGTCTATTCCTCTTGCCTGAGCTCGGCTTTTCTCCCCTCCCCCCCTCGGCGCCGGCGGAGTTTTTCCTTTTCCGACCGAATCTTCTCGTCGTCGTGGCAATTTTCCCTGCTGCAGCTGCCCCTGCCGCCGCTGGGCTCTCTTCCCCGACCCCTGCCCGCCGTCCCGTCCCCAGCCCCGCCCAAGGTAACGAGCCTCTGAGGGAGGGTCAGGCCTCACCGGTGCCTCGGCCTGGAGTTGAGACGGAGGCCCGGAGCCTGGGCGCCTGCCTCTCAGCGGGGTCCCGGCGCGGGCGGTCCGTGGAGCCGGCTGCTCGGGCACCCCGAGTGAGCGACTCTGGCCGGCGGGGAGGCTTCTACGGGCCGAGGCGGCGAACGTGGCCGTCCTGGGGAACCCGTCGGGTGGGGGAGACGCCCGCGCCCTTCCGAAGAGGTCCACTGTGAGGATGCTGGGCTCCGCAGTTTCCATGGAGCTGAGACTTTGAGTTTCCTGGTCTGACATGATGGACAGGATTATGGCGGGCTTTGGAGTGCTGGGTGACCGGGAGGAGAGGTGCCTGCCTTGTTTGAACCCTTCGGACTGGAAGCGTCTGTCCGGATTCCAGGCTTCCGGTGGACAGGAGTGTTCCGGACATGGTCCCCAGAGGACCCGTATGTTTGCGTGCACTCTGAGGATTTAGCTGTGTCTCACTTTGTCGGACGCTGAGCTGGGTTTGTCGAAAGGCGGATTTCTAAGATTACCTATTTGTGAACAGTGTGTGTTTTGGAGAGCTACTCACACTCACAGTTGAATGGTAAAGAAAGGGATTTGTGTAGTTCCATCTGACTTTGGAAGTCCGTGCAAATTTTTCTGATTTTGATTTCTCCAGCTTTTAAGAAGTACGTCGAAGTTTTCATTGTGGAGCCCCACACTGCCTTCCTAGTTCAAAGAAAGCACGTTTCTTTTTCTTGTAGCATACTGTTTGGGAGATCTTTTTGTATAGAATTTATCTGACGTGTTTGTGACTTATTGCTTTGAAGTTTGTGAATTAGCTAAATCTGAAGAAAGTAAAAATAAATAAAACTTCGAGTTGGGAACAAAAGTGATTAACTTAGGCAAGTTAGAGAAACATTTTTGTAGCTCGATATTTGACTTAATTTCTATGGTCTTTGCTTTTCATTTTTCTCAGATGTCAGAGGATCTAGCAAAACAGTTGGCTAGCTACAAAGCTCAACTCCAGCAAGTAGAAGCTGCTCTGTCTGGAAACGGAGAAAATGAAGATCTGTTGAAATTGAAGAAGGACTTGCAAGTAAGTATAGGTGGACTGTTGTAGCTGATGCTGTTTGAGAAGAGTATTTTTCTTTTTCAAGAAGGCACTCAGAGCACCTATGAAGATGCTCCCTATTTGTATAATATTTGTACACCTGAATACAGACACTGAGGCTTCTAAATTTGCTTCCTCCATATGGTGTACATCAAAATGAATGAAACACTCATGGGTTTGTAAATCTTGTGTGTGCTTTTAGGGTTTCACGATAAGAAACCTTGCAGTGGTTTTATTTTTTTAGCGAGTTGGTGAGGAAACGTAGTTGAAAAGGTAATACTATTAGAGGGGGAAATTATCACCAGATTAAGATCCTTTTTGATGACACGGGATTATTTGAAAATGAAATATGACCTTGTTTTTCAACAATCATGGAGTATACGTTTTATAAAAACACATCATGATGTGTTTACACAAAATGTGTACAGAGATAACTGTCTGTCTGGGTGGGTGAGTGTTATGTAAGTGTTTGAACTGAAGACTGGACTTTGTAGTTGTTGAGCCTGGTCTAAGTTGGATTGGTGTGAAAAGGAGATCTAACTTTTCATGGGAGATAGGAAGTATGAAACTTGGAAGGACATGTCCCAAAGGGCTTTGGGACAAACTCAATCTCTGTTGCTTCTGAGAACACCAGGTTAAGAAAAATACTGTATGTATTTTGTAAATATTGTATATTAAAATTTTGATGTAAAAAACACCCATAAATTTCTGAGCCTGATCCTTTAGAGATTTTCAGGGTGTTTTGATCTCTGCTTCTTTTATGTCCCATCTAAACAGTCCTTCCTTTATCTTCTTGATGGCCATTGATAACATTGGGTTTTGCCAGCTGTATACACTTTTAGGAAGTGTACTCAGGGAGCAGAAGAAGGCAGAGGTCTAAGTTCCAGGCCATCCAGGGTTACATAGTGAGACCCTACCTTAAAAAAAAAAAAACTCCACAAAATATCAAGTGCAAATTGAGAGGGCTTAATAGATTTGAAATCCTGAAAGATCTCATTTGTGATTTAAAATGACTTGGACATTTTCAAACTCTGATTCTAGACTTAAAATAGTGTAAGTGTTATTTTTTAAAACAAACTATATGGGATAATTTTACTTTGAATAAGACTCTCCTTTAGTTGTAGAAGCCAGGTCAGTGGGATGCATGTACCCTTCAGTAAGAAGAGGTGTTTAGAAGACACTTGCTCCTACTCCCAGGTCTTCTGTAAACATAACCCAGTGCTTCCTGCCTGCTCCTTTGATTGGCTCACCTGTACTGAGTATGAGTTTATGATGAAGGGACAGGGGCACACTAACCTGCCCCATCTGCCTCTGCTGACATCAAAACAGTCCTTTCTCTTTGGGCAGTGGGTGCTCTGTGAAGAACTGGTAGATGGAGAGTTGGGAGTTAAGTTTCTAGCAGCATTACTACTAGGTCTTTTTTAATGTTTCTAGGATAAATTAGAGTATGGGGTCAGCTATTTTGATAGGAGAATCTATAGTGGAAAGTATGTAGGGAGAAACCATTAGGGTTGATACAGTATTTACCTGAAAGGCTTATCTAGTGCTCAGTTAATAATAATAATGATCTGGAGGCTGAGGCTGTAACTGCTTACAATAAAAAATACCCTATGGTTCAATTCCCAGCACTGGAGGGAGAAAAAGTCAATAAACTACAAAAAAATCAAGCAGATTTCTGTGTGTTTGAGATCAACTTGGTCTACATAGAGGGTTCCATGCCAGCTATGATGACATAGTGAGACTGTCTCAATTTAAAAAAAAAAAAGAAAAAGAAAGAAAAGGCAAAGCAATAATGACTTTGAATATCTGCAAAAATATCCTCTTTTCTATAGCCAGTTAGAACAGCACTGTCTGTTGTGGTGACTGTGTCCTTTGCTGGTCAGTGCCACTCACAGCCACTAGCAACACGTAGCTACTGAGTGATTGAAATATGGCCAGGGTAACCGAGGAGATAAATTTTTTGTTTTAAATAACTACAGTTTATTAAATATTGGATGTTGCAGATTTAGAAGCTTAAGTACTAATGATACCATAAATATTGACAGGATAGAATTCTTTATTTGGCCAGTCTTCATCAGTTTTGTTTTTTCCCCCCTCCCTCTTTTTCATTATGAGAAGTTTGATTTTTGGTTACTAGGTATGGTTTGAACTGAAAGCTATTGGAAGATGGAAATTATCACTTAAGATTAGGTAAAATTATGAAAGATATTTGAATATATGCTTCCAACCTGGTTGTTTGCATTGAAACTAGGAACTAGCTTCTGTTTGGTAGAGGTCTCCCTTCACTCACTTGCTGCTTTTAGGAGGAACATCTGTCTTGTTATTTAAATCTGGTTTGATTAGGTTGATTTTTTTTTTTTAAAGCCTATGGTTTCTATGGTTTCTTTTGGGGTGGGGCTAATTCATAGTGGCTTCTAATTCCTTATGTTTATTTTTTCAGTAAGGTTTCCATGTTTCTGTCTTTCATATAGAATAAAAAATTCTTTTTTCATTTAGAAGAGAACTAGGTATAGTAAAATCAGGTTAGCTAGCTCTCTCATTCCCCAGGCAGTCTATAGTAATCACAAAACTAGTCAATTTATTAGGTTGTGTTGCTGAGTAAACTGTTGTAAAGGAGGCAGGGGTCAAGTCACTTGTCTCATATATTACAGTGGCTCTCTGCATCCCCGAAACGCCTTCCTTCAGGAAGCAGAGTGCTTGAATGCACCCCCTTTGACCTGCTGATATGTAGATCACAACACCTGATGCTTCCTGGAATTGCCGATTACTGTAACTGCTGTCCATCTGTCAATGAAGGAGCAGTTTCAGAACTCAGACTTGGGGGAGGAAAAGTAATTAATGGTATGTACCTTCAAGGACCCCTCATGCGTAAACCAGCTTCTCTAACACTTTGGTCCATCACATGTGAAGACAGATTGAGGTTCTTTATGAATTTTACTGGGAGGGACGTGTAAGATGACAAGAGTTACAGAACTTTAGAAGTAAATGCCTGGATTTTCTTGTTTTTAAGAAGGGCCATTGTGGAACAGGGTTTTGAAAATTATGCATAGCTTTTCAGGATTCTTTTCTTTGAATATATTTTCTTTTGAAAGTAGTGGGGAAATAAATGTTCTGTCAAACCTGAGACTTGTTACCAGGGGTAGAATGCATGTTTGTGCTTTAATTACATGATCCCTGGAAGGAGATAAGAGTATTTAATGATAAAGACTTTGTGGACTTTTGAGTCAGGGCTGTTGGTTTGTATTCCTTGCTCTAAAGGTGGTTAACTGAGAACAAAACTGGGTAATTTACTCTTCTTTTTGTATAACTGTATTACTGGATACTCTCCTTATTTACATAGAATTGTTTAATTAAAAAAATATTTGAAGGCACTTACTTGATTTGCACAGGACCCTAGGTTCAGTCTCAAGTGCTGCAGGACTAATGAATATAAAGCTAGGTGTCACCTCCTGTGCCTTAGAAATTGTCTACTTGGCAAACCTTAGAGCAGGGTTCTATTGGGTTTCAGCTCAAATCCAAGTCTTAGTAGCTTTTTTAAATTCACAAAACTCACCTTTCTCTAGGTACTTAATCTCTGTCTGTCTGTCTGTCTGTCTGTCTATCTGTTTTTGGTATTAGTTTTTTAGAACTTGCCAGGAAGATTTAGAATCTTTAGGAGAGGTAATAATTTAACTTTTCTTGGCTATTGAACCAAAACAACTATTACAAAACCTCATTGGATACCTGAAGAAACTAAGAGTTTGATTTTGCAATATTTGTCTTCAAACATAGAAAATGATGTTTTAAGTGTAACACTGTGGGAAACCAGTAGGCAAATTCTTTGAAGATCAGGTAAAAATGTATGTCTGTATTAGAGTAAGAATGTAGCAGATAAGTAGTTAAGTACCTGTTCATATTTTTGGCAAGTTTTTAACCACCCCTAACACACTTGAGTCGAACTAATACAGAGAAGCCTGGATTAGAAAGTATCTGCCACCCAGAGAGGCGCTGCCTGCCTTTGTAGGTTAGTTATGTGTTTTTTTTTTTTTTAAAGTGAAGCTGTGCTACTGTGTTAAGCAGGTGTAGGCTGTTTTAGTTCTAACTTGGTAATTATTACTTAAATGGGGTGAAAAATTACTGGTTTCTTTTATTTATTCTTTATAGTATTTTAATAGAAATTGGTATAAGTAGAAACATTGTGTGCTTAATGAGACTGTTTCCAGTGTTTTGGGAATTTCATAAAGGAGATATGTTGGTTACACGGTTGATATTTCTGCCAAGTAATGCCCTGTAAAATTGTAGTTGCATGAAAGACACATGGTGGTTGTAAAAGTAACCTTGAATCAGATTCCATCTTTGAGTCTCACTGTAGCGAAATGGTCAGTCACAAAAGGCATTTAGAAGTCAGAAGTTGCTGGAACTTGTCTAGTTTTATTTCTCATAGTTTTTATAGTTAAGTTGAAGGTGCCTATGTAGACTTAAACCACAGTTTCACTATTTATTAGTGTATAGTGCTGTTCCTTAGTCTCTCTATGAATGTGAAAACAGTATTCTCAAAAGCACTATAAGCTGTATGTGTAGCATACATTACTGCTTTGTGATATGAGAAATAATGCTATAAAACAAGAAAGTGGTTGATAGTGTTAAATTACAAGTGTTACGGCTTTTGCTTTCTTCTTTAGGAAGTTATAGAACTGACCAAAGACCTTCTGTCAACTCAGCCTTCGGAAACTCTTGCAAGTTCAGACAGTTTTGCCTCTACTCAGCCTACTCATTCATGGAAAGTAGGAGACAAGTGTATGGCAATCTGGAGTGAAGATGGACAGTAAGTGTAGAAAAACAACCCTCTAACTATAACATGAATTAATAAGATACAATGGTAAGATGTTTTTATTCAGCTTGGACTACCCTATTTTAATATCTGTGTCGGTAATGTGATTTATAAAACTAGTGTAATTCTTGGGTGGTTGCCATTAACAGCTTAATTTTAGGTTTAGTTTAAAATTTGGGGAGAAGTGATTTGGATTCTGAAGTAAAGAAAGATGAATGGCTGTTTTCTAAAATGTTCTGACTTGTTTTCTCCTCAAATCAAAAAGTGAATGCTGGTAATTTCATTGCGCTCAAGTGCATACATTGAAATTAATCTTTTAAGAACTAGCTTTTCTCAAAGAGATTAAGTATAGCGAGTAGACGGTAAGGGATTTTTCTGGCAAAATTTTTAATTAGGGCTTTTGATGTCAGATGCCTTGCTTTAAACCTTTCTCATCATTTTGCTAAGAGGGCCATTCAATTGCAGAAGTCTATTTTAGAGACATGATAATTGAATCACTACAGTGTAAGTCTTGTAGGCTGAGTACTAGATCTCTACTCACCTGCTTACAGCCATGATATCTTTGCAGGTGTTACGAGGCGGAGATCGAGGAGATCGATGAAGAAAATGGCACCGCTGCAATCACCTTTGCTGGTTATGGCAATGCTGAAGTCACTCCGCTGTTGAACCTCAAACCCGTAGAAGAAGGAAGGAAGGCAAAAGAGGACAGTGGCAACAAACCCATGTCAAAGTAAGTGACTCTGTTTCCCCAGGGCGGGCTGGCTCACTGTATGTCACAGTCTAGCTTGTGCTCCTCGGTCTTACCTCAGTCTTTTGAGTACTTAGGTACTTAAGTAAGTGCTTAGGTTACATTTGGCTAAAGTAACTGACTTTAATGTAGCATTTTAGGGTTTCCCATTTAGGTGCTTGAAGTAACTGCAAAGATAACCCATTCAGGCTACATTGGAATGAGGTTATAACACTGTTTAACATTGTTTTACAGATAGGCAACATCGGATCAGTATGTGTGCCTAGGTAAAGTGGAGGCTATACTGATGTATTCAATAAAGAGGACACTACACTAAGAATACTGTATTTCTGTAAGTCAGGTCCTAAGATAGACCACAGTGGAGACTGCCTTGAGCCTTGTACCTGCTGAAGCTATATTCAGAAAAAACACATAAGGGAGTGTCCTAGCAACGGGGATGTAGCTTAAGTGTGGATCCTTTGCCTAACAAATATAATTGTACCTAGTACCACAAAAGTTGGTGAGGGAGCATAAACAGTGGAGTATAGAAATTGTGAAGGGACATAGCATTAGTTTTAAGGGGACTCCCCCAAAAAAGCTATCATGGTTACCAGGACAGTTTCCTTACGAAAATAGCATCTAAACTAATAACTGAAACAAGGATTAGCAAAGTAAACAATGAAAGCACTAGGACATTGGATATATATGTTGTTTTGCCTGACCCATCGCTATAGTTGATGGTCAACAAACTAACATCTGCCTCATGTGTGAAATAGTGTGTAACAGCCTTAGCCTCTTCAATAAAATCTCTGAAATGCCCGGGAAGCACGTCTTATTCACAGAAAAAAATGTGGCAGATACAGAAGTAACAAAACCTTGTGATTAAAAACCTGGAGTCAGAATGTAGAAGTTATTAGATAACGGCAGTCAGGGTCAGCACTTGACAGCCACTTCTTAGTCCCTGTGCTTATCTGTGTGTAAATGCAACCTCACTGCCATCACTGCCTTGTCTCGTCTCTGTTCAGTCTTCCTTTCTTCCTTCCTTCCTTCCTTTCTCCCTTCCTCCCTTCCTTCCTTCCCTTCTTCCCTTTCCTTTCTTTTTGTGTGTAACCAATAAATAGTTTATGAATTTGCAAGAATTTCCAAAATTTAAGTTGCTACCTAAATGTTCTTGAATTTTGAAAAATACCATTTGTTAAAATAACATTTTAACACCTTGAATAAGGGAATCAGATTGTAAAATCTTGTTTAACCTAATTTGTTTTATTCTTGCCTTCTTTATAAGGAAAGCCACTTGACCTCATGTTGATGGTTATTTGGTGCAGGGGAATCAGGATCTCTTCGCTTAAAAACCTTTTTTTCCTTTTGTCAGTTCCTTTTTTGTCAGTTTTTTTCCTTTTTTCAGTTTTGTCATGTAGGGAAGCAGATTATATTGGTAGCTTAGGCCCTGGTTCTACTTAGAACCCTAGTTGTGGACATCCAGGGTTTTCTGTTGGTCATCACAGAGACAGCTGGTTGTGCCACTCTTCTGATCTCTTGCTGTCTCCTTCAGTGTTGATGAAATGGTTTATCTGCATTAAATCACTTCATACACCTTCCCAGGTGTCGCATATATTTCACCAACTGTATTTTTAGAAATTGGTAAAGAGTTAGCCATCCATTAAGGTTGATTTTGTTTCTTTTAGATGGGTTTCATGTGGCCTAATCTGGCCTGGAACTCTATGCTTAGCAGAGGCACAACTTAAATTCTTGATCCAACTGCCTCCAACTCCCAAGTAGTAGGGATTATAGGCATGAACGTGCATCAGATATCCATATTCCTAAAGCACAGCTGGCAAAAACTGTATAAAAAAATAAAAACTCTTTGTTGAAAGATTTGTTTTACAGCCGGGTGATTGCTCACACCTTTAATCCTAGCACTCGGGAGGCAGAGGCAGGTGGATCTATGTGAGTTTGAGGATAGCCTGGTCTACAAAGTTAGCTCCAGAACAGCCAGGGCTGTTATACAGAGAAACCCTGTCTTGACAAACCAAAAGAAAGAAAAAAAGATTTGATTTACATTGTAATAGACCTAAGTGGGGTTTTTGTTCTTTGTCACTTCTGGTATGCTTAGCAAGTGTTGTGTCTGCCTTCTTTTATAAAAGAAAATGTCTAGTAGCACTGAGTGGCATTGTTTGATTTCTATTTATTTATTGTCTGGATTCATATGTGCACTGCAATATGGAGGTCAGGGACAACTTGAAGGAGTTGATTTTCCTTCTGCCTTGTGGTTCTCAGGGTCAAACTCAGGTTAACTCATGAGGCTTGGCTTGGTGGAAGATGCCTTTACATGCTGAGCCATCTCTCTTTAGCCCTGTTTTTCTTTCTGTAAGACTGACAGCTCTGGTGTATCCCAGACTGACCTCCAGCTTGCCAAGGAGGACTCTGGACTTCTGATCCTCCTGTGACCACCTAGCATTACAGGCATGCTACCATACCCAGATTTTGGCATTGTTTTTTAATGAAAAGTTGTACTTTCGTTAATAAATTAGTATGTAAGTTTCGTTTTTGCATTGTTACAAAGAAGTCATATTTTAAGTTTTAATTATTGACATTTATGTCCTGTTTTCCACACAGAAAAGAAATGATTGCCCAGCAACGTGAATATAAGAAGAAAAAAGCTTTGAAAAAAGCACAGAGAATAAAAGAACTTGAGCAGGAAAGAGAGGACCAGAAGGTGAAATGGCAGCAGTTCAACAACAGGGCTTATTCTAAAAACAAAAAAGGCCAGGTTGGTATATCTTTCATCACATTGTAGATCTGAAAGTACAGCTGTCATTACAATAACATCAAAATGAAGAAAGGAGGTATAGGTTTTCCAAAGGACACATTTTTAACCAGTTCTTGACTTACAATTCTTTTAAGTAGTCATTAGCCAATTTCTGTGATAAACGAGTTTATATCAGAAATTTTTAAGACTGTATGGTACCTTCAAACTTTGCAGAAAATATGCAGAGCTCTGCTTTTTTTAAAAACAAACTTTCATTTTGAGCATCTGTTTAAGAAAGCTTTTAAGTTCTCTTGGTTTGCTTTGTTAGGTTAAAAAAAAATAACTGTAGAATTCAGCTACTCAAAATAAGGATGACCTGATGTTCACCCATAGCTTGGGTTTTCACTGTTGTCAATGCTGCCTCGATGTGGCTTCTGGAGAGGAGTGGGACAGGGGCCACAGTGGGTCTCACCACCACACATACCAAATAGAGCTCATACTGTAAGTAGGAATTGGAGAATGAAAACCTAGTCTCGAGACAGATAAGCTTTATATTAGTATGTAGTGATATTTTCTACAAAAGCCATACATTTTGTAAATATTGGAACTTGAATGTATTTTAACGTTAAAGGTTGAGATTTGGTTTCACACCCTGATCAGAATTGGTTTTCTTTTGTTCTCAGGTAAAGAGGAGTATTTTTGCTTCGCCAGAAAGTGTAACGGGCAAAGTTGGAGTAGGAACTTGCGGAATTGCTGACAAGCCTATGACACAGTATCAAGATACATCTAAATACAATGTCAGGCATTTGATGCCTCAATAATCAGAAAAACTGTTGGATCTCATCTCTGCAGGGCTTTACATTTACCTTTTTATTCTTATATTTTTCTAAAGGTAAATTATTTGCTAGATGAGTAAGGAAGATACATTGTTGTCATTGTTTGGCTTTGGTAGAATGAAACTTGAAGACATTTGATAATTGCTCTCATTTAACTTTTCATTACTACTCACCACAGTTCCCTCAGAGTTTGTTGAACAAGGCAACTTTTCCAGGTAGACGCTGCTTCAATCAGCACTTAGATGACTTAGTGTACCTCAGGCCCCTACTTAACTGATGTTGAGTAGACATTTTGTAAGTCCTAATTTGGAGTTTTCAGGTGCTTTGCACTTGACATATCCCAGCAGTTCATTGGAACATCATGGCAAAATGCCAACCTGCTAAAGATATCTTCAGTTTGATGATAACCTGGCCATTGTCCAGACAAGCCCGAGCATGGGTTAATTTATAAATGGCAGGGTTTAGTTTGAGGTTTTTCCTTGAATTCTTTCCTGGGCCTGTTAGGTCACTTCCATAATTGACTCACCTTGTATTTTTTGGTCATTGAGTTTGAATTTTATATTAAAAAACAAACCATGTGTAGAATGTGCTCCCCTTCTCTCGTGTTTATTTGGTGTTTTGTATTTTTTTTTCTTTGTTGATTTTTCACTTGTAGTGCTTCCATTTTGGGGGGATGTGTAATGTTTATATGGGAAAACAAAAAGCTGATGTATAGCCCTGTATACAATGTAGATACTATTTTTGTAAAAAACCAAGGCTAAATTAATGAACAAGAGTACTGAATGTTTCATGATTAAATTTTCCTGTATTTCTTGTGCATTAATATGACCATAATTTCCCTGTATATTATGTTCATGTAGCTGAGTTTGTAATTTTTATTAACTAGATCAAGTTGCCAACATTTGTTGGTATAAGTGAGCACCACAGTTATCCCAAGTTGAGTTTAAGCCAAAAAACAGATAGAAAAAGGGTCTTCCTGTTATTGGAAGAAGACAATTTTTAGGGTGTGTGTTAATTTCAGTTTTGTATGTTTAACTTTAATAAATAAAGTGTTTTTAAATCTCCAGTGTGTTAACAAAGGGGTGGAATCCATAGCTGCCAGCCTTGGTGTAGCGAGCCTTAGACTTATACACAGAACTACCGCGGAAAATTCCTTCATTGGGTATAAAAAAACTGAATCCTAAAGGATTAATGGCTGTATATAAAACTATTTGTAAATTAAATTTCATGAATTTTGGCTTGGTAAACTAAAATTTTTCTGACAGTGGTGAGGTAGAATACTTTTTATGATTTTCTTCATAAGTAATGTATGACAGAAAGACATGGGTTAACATGGAAAAAGGGCTACTGGGCTAAGGAGAGTGGTACTGTTGGCCTAGCATGTTTAAGACCTTCAGTTAGTTCCCCACTACCAGGACTTGCAGGGTAGCGGGAGAACTCCTAAATGAAAGTTTTAAATGCTGTAGTAACAGTTGCAAGGAAATCCTTTGAAAACACAGCAAAATGGTTTGATGTTGCCTTGGTATGCTAGAACAGTACTTACAACAATAACTGGACCATTCTGCCTTAAACAGAGCACCTGTATATCGTTTCCTTAAGGGCTTTGTCTCAGAAAAAGAATAGAAGGAATCTTCCCTTTGTTCTGAAAATAGGTATACAGTATAGAATCAGAAGCTTGTGTCGGAGATGAAATGTGGCGCTTTGGGCAATCATAGTTTTCCACTGACAATGTTGGTTTCTTTGGACTAAACTAAAAGTTGTGACCCGGAAAGAAGACCTGGCTGTTACATGCTAAAGTTGAAAAGATTAGGACCACTTTCCAAATAAAGTGGTTATGTTCTATATATTCTAAAATTAAGTAGGAACCCTAGGTGTAGCATGTTTTGTTACAAACTTTTGAGGGTTTTTTGTTCGTTTTTGCTTTTTGGAGACAGGATTTCTCTGTAGCTTTGGAACCTTGGAGCCTGTCCTGGAACTCTGCCTGTAGACCAGGCTGGCCTTGAACTCACAGAGATCCACCTGCCTTTGCCTCCCAAGTGCTGGGATTAAAGGCATGTGCCACCACCGCCCAGAAGCTTTTGAGTTTAGAGCTGAAACTGACAAACTGAAATTCAAATACTGATTTGTAGCTCTTTAAGTAGGTTGTAAGTTTCTTCTCAAAGCTTGATTGACTTGAAGTTGACCTATAATAGTCCGAAAGTTAGTAGCCAGAAATTTAACAATACCACAATTAGCAAATGCTGTTCTAATTAACATGTATGTAGCAAGACCTACGGAGCTTATTAGAAGAGCAGAGACTCTGGAACCAGGCTGCTGTTGCAACCCTGACTCCACTTAATAGCTCTTTGTAACTTACTTTCTTCAAGACTCGAGCTAATATGTGTTCAGAGGGAGGGACAGTATCTGACATGCATGTGGTACTGTAAGGATGCCTGCCATTTACTGTGGAATGACAGCGAGTGACTTTCTTTACTCAGAGTTGTAGTGTGTGCATACATAATACTGCTAGTGAAATGTCATCAAGTAAATCCTGACTTAATTTCTACACTAGAACATACTTAATGGGAATGTGGTGAAGTTTCTAATAAAAACTCAAGCAGTCTTGCCTAGGTATTCCAGATTTCCCCAGGCCAAAGTAAGTCTGCTGCAAACACTGTAGGTAATACTGCTGTGCACCCTTAGCTGAGAACTAGGCTGTAGGTTAAATATAGAACAGCTTTGGTTCCTGAGGAAAAATTGAAAGCATATTTAGTGGCATCTTTATTAGTCTAATTATGAAGACTAGGTACCAAACCAGTTATTCTAACTCAAATTTTAAAAGTACTTGTTTTGTTGATGTGTGTCCATCCAGTATACTGTGTTTTAATGTGTGCTGGGTTTATTCCCTTGAAAATACCAACGGCTACCTCTCTTAAAGTAAGAAACAGGACAGATGACTTTCTTACGACTTGGGTTAGGAGTTTCTAATTTACAACCAGACATTTCAGAGGTGAGTAATATGTTGTACATCAGCCAAAAATGTACTCAGAGTTTGATTTGGCTTTTTGCCTAGCTTGGATAATAACTGAAATATTAAAATGAAAGTATGTTTAAACCAACAAGGTTTTGTATTTGTTTAAAATAATTACAGAGGTTCAACAGGTATCTGCTCAATAGTATTTGAACTATGGAGCAGTCAGTGTAAGCAGTAATTTATAAATCCAAGAATGTATGTACACATTTTATCTAGGATTTTTGAGTTGTAAATTGAACAATTTTTGCTGCAGTGAGGAGGGAGCACACCAGGCAGTTGAGAAGCAGTAACCTTGTTCCCTTTCCTGTTATTAGAAGTATACACACGTGTGTGTAGGTGGAGATAGAAGTGATTCTGAAACTGATACTACAGATGGGACGTTGTAAACACTTGTCCAGTCTAGCCAATGTATTCTGTAAAGACAAGGTTTCGCTTCTGTGAGCCTTTCCAGGTCCTCCTTAGCTTACTTGAAGGTGGTTCTTGTGTGGCTGACAACTGAAAATTGAGTTAGTAACACTAAATCTTAGACCTTAGTCGTTTAGTTCCCACAGTAAACACTGGTGGCTGGCTTCTGTGAGCTTAGCAGTTTCTCTTAGGAGCACACTGAGTCACTGGGATATTTAATTGGTGTAAACTCATTACAAAGGTTGGCTTTTTGTTCTAAGAGCTACTTTTTTTTTCTAAGCTTGAGGCCCATATCCTCATACTGCTAGTTCTATTCACCATGGCGAAACTGAGAAGCTCGTCCCTACCTCCTTCAACCCGTGTTTATACAAGTTTTGTTTTTTGTGACAAGGTTTCTCTGTAGTATGTGTTCTTTAGTTTTGTAGGAACACACTATGTAGACCAGGCTAGCCTCAGGATCTGCCTGCCAGTGCTGGGATTAGAGGCCTGCACCACCACACCCAGCGTAATATGCAGCATAATTTCTGACCAACACCCCCCCCACACACACACAAAACAAAGGATTCAGGCTTGGAGGAAACAGGCGACTGCTACATCCTGGAAATAAGAATCAAACCCCAAGATCAGCAGCTAGGCTACTCTACTAGGTGGTCGCCGTCCAGTTTTCAATCGCTCAGAGTAGCAGAAGGAGCGAATACCTCTTTGGTTTTGCCTGCAATTTGTTCCTCCAAAAGCAGTTAGGTTTGTTTGACCTAACTTCCAAAGTATGAGATACTTGTCTATTCACAAACTCTAAGAGTTATTTTTTAATGTATGTCTTAGAACCCATTTATGGCTTATGCTACATTCTTAGAACAAAAACAATGCTGCTTTTTTCTGTTTCTGTTGTGAACACCAAAAGTTCCAGTTACTGCCTTGGCAGTGAAATTTCTAAGCATATTCCACGATAAAGAAACAAGAGGGCTGGTGAGATGGCTCAGTGGTTAAAGAGCACTGATTGCTCCTTCAGAGGACCCAGGTTCAGTTCCCAGCACCCACATGGCAGCTTGTCTAAAACTCCAGTTCCAGAGAATCTGACATTGTTATACTAATGTGCATAAAATAAAGTTAGTAATAAAAAGAAAAAAAGAGTTGGCCTATTCCTTTGTCAAGATGGCACCATGTAGCCCAGGCTGGTCTCAAACCCACTTTATCACAGAAAATGACTAAGCTTTTGATTCTCCTGCCATCGCCTCTCAAGAGCTTGGATTACGGGTCTGCATCATCCCACCCAGTTTATGGGATGCTGGGCATCAAGCCCAGGGTTTGTACATACTAGACAAGCATTTTATTCAGTTCAGTCGGCGGTGTTTATAAAAGTATAGTGTTTTACTTGTGCTATTAGTGATAAATTATGGCTAAAAAAGGGTACAACAAGTAAAATTGTCTGGTAGTAAATATCCTTGGAACAGTTTAGTTACAGTGTATTTGGTGGAAGGGCATTTACATAAAGCCCCCAGTTCAACTGGGCAAAGCCAAAAAAGCAATTTACTGTTAGATCTGGTGCACAGACAGAGATGACAGTTTTCCTTTATAGCTGAGCATATCACTAAATACTAACTGGGCGTGTTCAGTGATGCAGTGGTGTTATCACTGTAGAGTAGACTCAGCTTCTGGTTGGGTTTACAAAAACATGATCATTAAAATGCAATAAATTTATTTTACATAATCTTTCTTTTAACAAGCATTTAAGAGCCAGCACACCTTTAATTCCAGCACTTGGGAGGCAGAGGCTAGTGGATCTGAGTTTGAGGCCAGCCTGAGCTACAGAGCAAGTTACAACACAGGCTCAGAAGCTACAGAGAGAAACCCTCTCCCAAAACAAACAAAAAATGAGAATATAAGAATTTTAAGCCAGGTGAGGTATTGTCTATAATCACATCTGTTTGGGAGTTTGATGTAGATCCTTTGAACTAAATACAAGTTTTATGTGTATGAACTAATAATATTTAAGAAACAGGACTTTTTTTTTCCTGTAAAATTGGGTCAAAATAAAACTTGACATTAGGGATGAAGAAAACAGATTGCGTTCATTAAAACAAAAGGTGGATAGTGCTGGAAAGATAGCTCAGTTGGTAAACTATTTCCCTTGAAAGCAAGGGACCCGAGCTGAAGGCCTAAACTCTATGTGTTTTGAAAAGCTAGAGTGACCCAGGCATGGTGGCACACATGTTTAATCTCAGGATTCTGGGAGGCAGAGGCAGGTAGACAGTAAGTTTTAGAACAGTCAACAGTGAGACCCTGTCTCAAAAACAATTCTACTAAAAATTTAAAAAGCCAGTAGGCTGAAGAAGGTTGGAGAATAGATGGCCCCGCTGTTAGGAACACTTGGATGTTCTTCAGTTCTCAGCATCCACATAGTGGTTCACAATCATCTAGTTCCACGGAATCTAATACCCTTTTCTGACCTATATGGGTACCAGGCATACCTGTGCAGACAGACATGCAAGGAAACACACACACACAAAATACATACATGGGGGAGTGTTAGTAGCCAGCCTTGTCTATTTGGTAAGTTCCAAGCTAGTGAGAGGCAGACTTAAAAAGAAAGAAGAAAGAAAGAAAGAAAGACAGAGAGAGAGAGAAAGATACGTGGTGCTTAAAGAACG